AGCTCATAAATCTACCTTTATATACAACGGTATCACCAGCTATTATTACTAGATGCCATTTTAAGTACCCGTTCCACTTTTTCTAAGAATTACTGCAATCCTGCTATCAACTGTCATGCTTCCAACATTCCTCCTCAAAAGCAGTGAAACTAATTAAGATCTTATAATATGAAAGAATCAAAGATGGAAAAAAATATAAATTGATCCACTTGATATGACTGTAAAAATAAAAATATTCAGTAATTTAATTCAAACAATACAGTATTTAATTTTATTTTGTAAATACAACCAGAGAGTTCACATCAGTGAGATGAAAAACTTTTCACTCCTGCAACTAGATTGGAGTTGAATCACTGACTTTTAAGTGAAACAGCTCATTACTCTTGCCTCTAAGCATCCATTTTTATCCATTTGTTGCTTTCTCAGACAAAACATATCCAAATGCATCCAATGAAATATGAAAACTAGCAACTAAGAATATTTTGATAATTTTCAGTCTTTGACCTTGTTACGAGGTAATTACAAAATGTAAAAAGAAAAAACCCAACTGACAAGCAAATAAGCCACACCCACAAAAAGCACTGAAAAAATTAGTAAACTACTTTCTATTATACATACCGGAAAAAACATTGTACACTGTGAGCTCCAATGCACAAAACCCAGAACTTGTTTATTCTTATATAATCCTTTGCTTTACATGAGTGTTGCTAAAAGCGCAAATCTTTTCTGATCCTCTGTGCAATAGCTCTAGGGTTAAGTGGTGAGATTAACCATAGAGTCCCAGGACATGTGTTCTGAATAGCTATCAAATTCTGCCAACTCTAACTCCTTCCATATAAACATATTAAAGTGTCTTGGAATGCTACTGTTTCTTGTCAATTACTTCTGTATTTAATTACAAGCTATTTCACAAGAAGTTAAGCAGATATAAATTAGTTACCATAAGTTACGTATTTGTCTACAGTTGTGTTCAGGTTGAGCATGAAAGTTGTGAAATTAGTCTTTGCTCTAATTTTTTCCTGCAAATCTATTTATTCCACCTGGCCAGCTCACACATACAGCAGCTTTTTTTCATTACATGGAAACTCCAAAACTAAAGAAAATTATATTTATATTTAATTTGCTTTAATGAAAGGCCAGGTATATATGAAGAGATTACAAAATGTCCTCGGATGTACTATGTCATATATCCTGCTCCAAAAAGTGAAACAGCATTTCTGCACGCTAAGAAAAAACTTAGCAATGTTTCTTTAAGTAAGTGATTTTACAGTTGTTTAAAATAAGACGTTTTTAAGTGCCAGTGAAGGTTTACTGAAGGGGATACTCAGAAACTGATCACTGCAAGAAGCACACAGACACTACTTCAGCTAGTAGCATTTCTGAGAAACAGATCAGTCAATCAATAGTTCGTCATGAAGAGAAATACCTTCTTTCTGTGAAAGATGAGCTAGATCCTACGTAGGTCCATGTCAGTCAGTTTCACCATCTAAAAATTCAGCATTACTGCAGACACAGACATCTTAGTGTGGAGCCTACAAAATTCTAGAAATGAATTAGCTACTTACAGTGAACAGAAAGCAGTATTTTACTTGGCATAGGTTACATATAGGTTATTGCTATTTATAATCTGTATTACTGTTATGTGTGGAAGTTCTAGACATGGACCACAATACTATAGTGTTAAATTCTATAAAGAGCGCATTTTTAGCACTCACCACATATTTTAAGAATCCCAACATTAGCCTTTCCTTGACATGGACTGAATGCCATTGCAGTCCTCAATTTGGCTTTGGGGTTACAAAGTGGCCTGAAATAATGATGTCACACACGCTCAACTCTCTTACTCTCACTTTCAATGTTATAATGGGATACAGTTTGGGACTTGTTTCATATTCCAGCCCTATCTCCCCTTTGGCTGGAAGGGAAACCTGGGACCCTGTGAAAGTTTCCCTTCCTTTGACAAATGCCTTGTAGTGCGATAGCCTCACAAAGTGCAGCAAGGGTAACATACCTGCCTAAGCAAACACAACAGGATTTGATGTCACTAATTCTGTCAAATGTACTCTACAGCTGAGACCTATTTCAATTAATGGAGGGACACAAAATACACACAACTACAACAATAACTACTATCTTTTAAAGTGATTTTTCAACTCCTTAACAACTCAATCCTAGCAAAAGTGCTTTCACCCCAAATACAATCTATTCAGATTAAATGTATTTGATTTCAAATAGACAGAAGAGAGACTTAGGAAGTTATGAACCTGATAACCTGAGTCAAAACTCATCACTACACATTAGTGCCTACTGCAGATTGACAGTTTCAAACCAAACCCATACAGAAGAAACAAGACAGCCCATTAGATCACATGAAATCCAGCATCTGATATAATAGGAAGACAATATACATGAGCTAGCTATTTAATATACATTGAACTTACATGAGCACACACTGGGAACACAACAGAAACCAGCCAAAGAGGTTTCCCTTCTCCACTACCCACCTCTTCTCTTCCCCTCCTCTCTAGGTTTATTATGTATATCTAGCATTATAATTTTAACAGTAAGAGACATCAATGAATTTATCTATCCCTGTGATTTAAACTATATTAAAAAAATTGTCAATGTAGATCACGAGATTCTTTTCCTCTCAGTGCTTGTATTCTGAAATATAATTAAATAATTATTTCCACTTGGTGGTAAATTTTTTTGCTTTTTACCTTTAACACAGAACTGAGAAGGACTTGGGACCACACTGTTTGCTTCTACTGCACACATTGTACAAGAAAGGCAGGTAAGAAACTCTCTTGACAGAAAATCTTTATTAGCTTTCTGTTTAAGTGTTCCTTATCACTTCACCATCTAGTGTGTTGAGCTCCCTCAAGCTCCTTTTCTAACATAAATAAGATCGGCAGTGAGCTAATGCTGTGGAAAACTACAAACTCTGTCTGAAGACAAGTCACAATCTCCTGCTGCCCTAATTTTTCTATCCATTAGATAGGAATATAGATGTTTCTTCATCTCAGAACTCTAGGTAAGGGAGGCATGCAAGGGTCTGTTTTAAAACAAAGTTTGGAAAATGCTGCATAGTGACACAGAAGGCACAGGGGAGTAGGAAAGGACCAGAAGGAAGAGAAAATGAGCTACAGAAAAAAATAAGGAAACAGCAATAAAAATAGTTGGCCAATTATACAGTAAAGAGTAAACGAATGTAGATAGAGTTTATGTTTGTTCGCAATTTGAGCACTGCAGTCACTCAGTTCTTTCCACCCAGTTCACAGTCAATTTTACTCCCAGTTTTATCAGTATCACTGATCGAGATAAGAAATATCAAAGTAGCAAACAAACACTACTTTTGAAAAACAGAAAGGATGAGGAATTAGGTAGATGAGAGGAAAACTTTTTCTTTTGCAACATGCATAAACAGAGAAAGACAGAAATAAAGCACATAGGAGTTTCTGCATACATTTTAGAAGACTTAGGGGGTAAATTTTTCTTGTTTTACTTCTTAGAACAAAGGCAGCCTAAACCCAGCACTTCTGTAAATATAGTATTTAGATAAAGAGTTTAACTATGCTAAAGATCTTCTGTTGCTATAGCTATTTCATATGTCCCTCTTAGCAATGTCTTCACAAGCAGATGCAGCACATGCTGACAAAGAAGCTATTGTCAGAAATAAGCCAAATAACATACCTGTGTTTGCACTCAGAGCTTTGCTTACACAGCAATTACAGCTGATGCAGCACGCAAGTCTTTCATACCCTGAGCTGAAACAACTATGAAACAGAATGAAGGCCATAATGTCAACTCAGCCTTCAAATCATATTTTTCACCCAATTTTTGCTCCTTTAAATCCCCTGAAATTCCCTCCACAAAATGAGCAAGAGGTAAATGACTAAGGCTTCTATTACTCCCTTCTACTTACTAGGGTTGTTACAGATTAAAGTCACTCTCTACACCTCTGCAGCACCTCTAGCCTAAAAATCTCTGGATTCTGAGAAGAAATTTCTGCCTGCATGAATCAGAAGCATCTCCTGTAACTTGTACTGTGAAACAGTACCTAAATGCAACGTGTGAAAAGCTAAGGTGCGCCCAACCCAGCAAAATATTACTTAACCAAAACCAAACCCTTCTTTTCCACTGATCTTTCCTAGCAGTAAAAACATCCAGTATATGTACTATTTTCTCTATGTTCATTCAGAATGAAGGGATGGTAGGCAACCTTTACATTGTTTTCAAAATTGCTGTGTAGCTTCAGTTATAACGAATTATTTTGTCTCCTGTCTCTCTACCCTACACACACTTCAATATTTGTAATTCACAGTTACTAAAAGGTACTTGTTTCTTGTATTTGTACTTTCCTGTTAAAACCTCAGTATATTTTTTCTGAAGCTTTCAACCAACCACTGAACTCGGACTTTCTTTTCATTACATAACAACCACACCTGCAAATTATCTTCCAGATTTTGTAACTCTTACAACAGCAACAGTTACTTACAAAGATAGTCCCCTTCTGATTGTGGGACAAGTGAGTTTGCAGTTAATAAATAGCTTGTGTTGCTTAGACTAACACTACACAGAAAAAAAAAAAAAAACCCTGACAAAAAACCTGCATATGAAAACTGGAAGACTGAGACTGCTAAAACCAGTTTGGATAAAATTAAGCTAAAATATGTACTCCAATAGTACATCTACTGCACTACAAAGCAAAACAGGACATGGGTGTTTGACCAGTCTAGTGTGGAGCTACTCTGAAGTAAGCCTTCCCATCCACGATGTGGATGACTAGTACTTTGAACCAACTGCTTCACTCTCAAATCCTCTTCTACTTGTTTGTATAACTTACTACTATTGACAAAGCCCAAGATACCAGGTTAACTCTAACTATTGTGAAAGCATAGTTACAACGTTAAACCAAAGATCTTGATTCTGCCTGGTTTATGTATTTGTGCAAATACATCGATTCATTCATATGTAAAATAAAACACTATTGTACTTACCAGTTTTGGGGTTTATTGAAAAGAATCCCTGTGGATTGCCACTTGTAATCTTGTAGGTTAATTTTTCACTTGAGCTAGAATCTGGATCAAATGCCTCAATCTGAATGACGGATACATCTTTAGGTGAGTTTTCCATGACCTCCGGGTAATAAACTGGTTCTGTGGTCTGAGGAGCATTATCATTAACATCCCCAACTTCTATGTAGACTTCAATGAAAGATGATAAAGGCACAATGCCTTGGTCTGTTGCATAAACAGTTAACCAGTAATGTGAATTAGTCTCACGATCCAGGTGATCTGCAGTCTCAATAATACCTGTTTAACAGGAAGAAAGATAAATAGAAAATGCTCAATAAATACGCAGAAGTATGTAAAAACAGAGTAAGCAAAAAGGTTAAATAAATGAATAAAAATGAATGAAAGTTCAAAATAACTGATATTGAATCTGCAAGCTGTGTTAATATACAGAGAAACATATTGAGGCCAACCTGAAGCCACAAAAAATAAAATTGCTACAACAGTTTTCAGCAATTATGCATTACAGTTATTAAAACAATATATTACTTAACTTCCTTTCCAATATCCTTTGAGAATTATCAGATCAATTAGCACTATTCATAAAAAGTATTTTGCCTAAAAGATTAAATATAACGAGTAATTCACAGTCTTTTGGGACTTGAATGACCCTCTTTACTCATCGCTGATTATAGTGAATTTTATACCATATTAAACTATCGGATTTAGATGCCAAACCCTTGAACTGTTTACCATCACTCATATTAATGAGCAGCTACTTAGACGTGAAATATTGTTATCTACGTCCCCAAATGAATTATTTAACTGGATTTTCTTAATGTGCTTATTTGGGTTCACACAGAAATTTCACATAAAACAGAAGTTACACCTGAAGCTAACCTTTGTAGCATCAGGACTAACCAATGGCTACCATTACTCTGGCAATGGAAAGCAGCACTTAGCTCAATTTTACATGCGTAAAATGAATTACCGTTTAAGGAACAGCTATACAAGTCAAACTTAATAAAAATCTGTCTGCTGAGTCTGCAGGAGCTTGTCTGAGCCAGAACTAAAAAAAAACTTGAGTCCCTCATTCTTTAATCCACTGTGAAGGAAATACAGATCTATTTTTATGTGCACCTTACTCTACAGGTACAGTCATAATATGCACATGTCAAAACGACTACATGACGTGGTCTAACCTATTTGATGGGGGATGAATATCAAACAGACTCATGGAGCCACGGCACAATTAAACTTTGCACTTTCATATTCCTGACCCTGTCACTCTTACAGGTTGTCCATTTTGAGATATTTTCTCAACAGAACTTAAACCAAACCCGATACATCCAGGGTGAGGCACAGAGCAAGCCCCTTGCAACCCTTTCTGTGGAAACCTTGGAGGGTTTTGTCATGGCTCTCACCATTTGTTACACTGAGACACACCAGGCCTAATCGGGACTGGAGCCGAGAGGAGTCAAACTATCACCATGACAGCCAGTTTTGGACTCTGGATGCAACCACATAATGTGATTACGTGCTGAGCAAAACAAGAGAAATATTGAGGAATTACTCATTTATTCATTACTTTCTTTGCCTTGTGGGAAGCTGCATAAAGGTCTGATGATGATCATTTGAAGTTTTAAGATGTCAATAAGACCACTTCAGAAAGGCTGGAGGGGACAGCATCCAATTGCTTAGACCTGCAAAATACCCATATATAGCATTTCAAGCAACCCAGCATTTCAGAACTACCACCAGATGTCAGTGTGGAAATTGGTTTTATATAGTGTCAAAGGCTTCAGAACTGGGATAAAAAGGAGGGGCACAGCAATTTGAAAATATAAGTGCGTTACATACAGTCTTGGCATTTCACATTTCCAGTCGCTTCATCTCAGTATTTATATTTTGTTTGATGGCAGTTTTATTATTAAAAAAATAATCCATGTAGTCACTGGATTTGTGCTGGGGTTACCTGCATAGTTTCTGATCGTTAAATGTACATAAATTTGCTCTTAAAAATGGAGACACAGCCTTAAGCACCCAGTTACCTGGATTCTATTTTTGAAACTCAATCATATTACACCTTTTGCACCTCTCTAGTTCAGCCAGGAGACTTGCTTGGAAGTAAATAAATTTGTTAGTTACTATGGCCTCATTTCTAACCCTAAATGCTGGATGCAGCATGCAAGCACTTCATCTTAAGTCTGGGTGGACCCAGTGTATGCCTTGGAAAATTTTGTACAACCTTCATGTCCTACTAAACACAAGACTAGACTCTATTACTGCCCTTTTAGGAAGGCTTCCAGCAACGCTGCTCTGTTGCTTGCAATCCGTGCAGAACACAATGGGCAGGCTTATGTGCCGAATTGAGCAACCGTTATCATTTTACACCTGTCCTGCTTTCTTAACAGTAGCTACATCAGAAGTGGCAGATTAATTTTAAGATAGCCTTGCCTGATTTTAAAGAAACATAAAAAGAGACTCTTGTGGAAATGGAGCTCTCCTCCTGCAATCTGCTCACCTGGTATTCACAAATCTACCACCTTAGTTATCAAAGCCTACCTCAAGGAAAAGAGGACTGAACCTGTTCTGCTTTTGCAGACTATCAATTCTCAAGTGTCCACTCTCTTAAGTCGCATACTTCACAAGGGAAAAAGGGAAAGAAAAAAAAAAAAAAAAAAAAAAAAAAGAAAAGAAAAGAAAAGAAATTTACCACACCAAAATCCCCCCAACAACAGAATTTCAAGAAGAAATACGTAAAAAGATTAAAGGGATGGTAGCTAACAGTACAATACAGCAAAGAGAGGCAACTTTATTTTTTAGTTCATTTTTCATTTCAAATTATAAGATCTGCATATATGACATTATTTCTGCATATTTTACACTGACTTTTGTGGAAATGTTCAATGAAAGGCTTGTAATATGACTGATCATCTGACCACTGTATACATCATGTAACACAGATGTTTACCCAATAGGGTAGCTGTGGTTTTCAGAATGTCCCTGATTTTCTGCAGGATCATCTGTGCTCTAAGTGTGCATTAGTCAAAGTAACACAGTCTCATTCGTAAAATTATTTTTCCATTTTTCTCATGTTTCTCACCCAACAGATTCTAGATTGTTGGATGAACATTTTTTCTGTACGTGCTGTTTATAATTCCAAACTGAAATAGGAAGCATCTAGGGAAATGATTTTATAATCAGTCACATATGCAAAAATGCCTATATAACTTTTCAACACTAATCAACACATCAATTCCTGAATGAACATTTCCTAGAGGCATAAAGGGTACTTAAAGCTTTCATGCACCCCACTTACAGTTCAAAACAGATGGAATAGACAGGTATATATGCAAGTTGGAAAACTTATTAGAGATGGGCATCGCACATAATTGGATTACTTAGGCAACATTAAAAACGAAGACTCAAAAATAACATTCCTCCAGTATAAAAGTCATGCAAAAGGGGACAAGAAGATAGAGAGCAAAAATTTCCCTTTACCCCTCACATGTTGAGGGCAGTGGAGAGGCCACCACACCTAGTTCTCCATCATCCAAAGCTGCAGGCATGGTGAGGAAGGGATGACTGGTCTATAATGACTCAACTTTCTTCCTGCTGGTTCCACCCAGCAATAAAATGAACAGGACACATGCCTGGGGGTGGGGGGAATCTCTGACTACCAAAACCTGAATTTCTTCTGGTTCTGCATCAGCACTTATGTCACAAAACACAATCAACATTAAATGCACACAACTACATGGAGTACTTGTGGACTTCCCCCCCCCCCCCTTTTAATGCTACTGTATATTCTGACCTTACATTAGTAATTACAAACCACCACCCTTTTCTCATTATTCTAGTTGAAATTGCTCCTGCTTCTGCAAGTTTAACACTAAATCTTCCCAGATTTTGCCTGTGAGAACACAACAGTAATGAATACAAATGCATATAAACTTCAGTAGTTGTCTACTATACCTTCTGAAAAACACAGCCCAAAGAATATTTTTTTTTTCCCCAGGCCTAGAACCAGCCCTTAAAGTATCAGTGGTTGGTGTGCCAACTTTCTGCTTTTGCAAACGTTGACTATAGTGGCCTATTTTACACACTAGGGCAGCATAATACCGTATGCTGTCTGAAAGCCAGCACTTGTGGAGTTCATAAATTCACTGGCTGCTAGTCCTAGTGGTTCTCAAGCCAGCAGAAAGAAAAATTATGGGAACTTATATATAAAATAGCAGTAATAAAACAATCTAAGCAAGAGTTAATTTGTTTTAATCTCACAATCGGCTAGATCCATTAAGCATCAGTAAGACATTGATCAGCATCATCAGTTTCGACAGCGTATTTTGGCTCCTATAAAGTATTTTCACTTTTTTCTTCAAGTGGTGCAAAGCACATTTAAGGAGTGCAGCTTAAGTGCTTCTATTGTATCTTCAATGCTGTAAAAGCTCCCTCTCTGCTCTAACTCTTCTCTCATTCACTGAAAAATCTTTAATCAGTGAATTTCCCATCCATTCTCTACGCTGAGGCAATTTGGTAATTTTTTCCTTTTACAAACCATTTGCTTTTTATGTAGCAAGACAAGTAGAGAAATCTTCCGCAGAGCGCCACTAAAGAATCTTTAGCATGTATGGTAATCCCGAAGACTTGTAAATATTATTGTTCATAAAATACAGTGAAGTGAGGATTCCAAAAACATTTTTCACTTGGCTGGATATGCAATCTTGAGGTTTTCAGGTGGTCAGGACAAAAGGAAATTCATATTCAGTCACTAACCACCAGAGGGGAGTACAAAAGGGCTCTGACGAAATGTTCCTCAGTCATCTGCAAGAACTGACTTTACAATATTCATATGTCTGAAATTTTAGACTAGATATTGTTCACATTTGATGCAACTGGACTTTTCTATCAATTCCATTAAAAGAAGGAAAAAGTCCTAAGTGAATACTGAGTTTGGACAGAATTCGATATGGAGGAACAGGCCGGTTTATGAATGCAGCAACTGAGGCAAATTCAGAACCTTAACCCTACTTTCACCAAGAATCAACTTTACTTCCAATTTAAAATTCCACAACCCAAGTCACTACAACAAAGTCACTCTTAAAACAAGAACAAACATATAAATCCACCTCAAATCTGACAGTCATACATACGCCAATTCTATCTAATTAACAAATGCTCAAACTATAATACCCCCAATTCCCAGGGATGATCCTCCTTAAGTGTGCTTATCCATGAGAACTCTCATTAACAATATTAATGATTCTGTAATGGAAATCAAAACCTGCAATCATTTC